AAAGGTATACCCAGAATATTATACTTGCTAGTTGCTTATTTAGAAGGCGAATACTCTTTAAAAAATTGTGCGATCTAAAGGGTCTGTTTTCTGAGCTTCCGACTAGAACTACCATTGTATTATCTGTCATTTCAAATGCATTCTTCCAAAGTTGAAGTCAAGCAGCTTATTTAAAATCTTTCCAATGGTAGGTTGAGAAAAAGTCAGGTGCTAGCCCATTGTCCAAATATGTCATCACTCTTCGTCAGAGAGCACAAAAAAGAAATGAGTCTCTAGTTGAATCAAGGTTCAGCATACTCATCTTTCTTGTACTGTTAGATAATCATGGTTCAGCATACTCATCCTTTTTATGCTTGCAGTGTACTTGTTGGTGAACGTTCATCGGTATTTGGAACTAAGGTAGAGGAGGCTGACCATGAAGACAATATGGAAGAAAAAGGTGATGCTATCTTCAGTTCTTCTTCCTGGCTACCTGGAGGCATTCCCAAGTACATTCACTCTCCCCTCTTCAGTTCTTCAGTTATTTCTTCATTTTGCTTTTAAAACCTTTTTGTTGAGTCCTTTTGGTAAGGCTTATAATGATTGTAATTACGTATCTGCTGGAATTGTTGAAGCTGTAGCAGAAATGCCTGAATCTGGGAAATAATGGGAAACAATTAGAATATATATTGGTAAATTAAAAAAAATACATGAAAAAGGCTAAAAATGTTCTCAGTCGCCAACTTCAGCAAAAAAGGTTTCTCCGATCTCACTTTTTCTGCATTATCCAATTCTACACATATGATCGTATAAATTAGCTTTTGATAGAAAAAATAAATAAATTAGTGTGTTTGATAAAGAAAACAATAAATAGTACTTGATAAAAGAATAAGTGAAACCAACTCTAAACAATATCAACTATCATCCATAGACAGATAGACCAATAATAATACATACTTTACATATCAGTGTCGTAGTACCAACTTTTTAATATATAAAGGAAGAGATACAGACCTACTGTCCTACCACATATCTGCTTATTTAACCAATCTAAGACTTTTATCAAATCATCAGAACTCCATTTAAGAACAACCTTTTTTGATGGTTTGTTTTAGTTTTTGGTGGGATAAATGAGTAGGTATTTTTGTGCAAAATTCGCTCTGCCTGATTTTTGTCATATATTCACTATTCAGATAGTTGGTACTACTCTGAGCATATATGAGACGCGCATTATTATTGGCTTATGGATGTTAGTCGGTTTAATGTGAAGTTGTTTACAATAAATTAGTGCTTTATAAACAAGCTTGTCTAGTAAAGTGGCGCTACCGGATGATCAATTAATTTTGTATGATTTAAAAATGCATCTTAAAATAATAATTTTGCAAATAAATGAAATTGTACCTAGATGGAGGTAAGGTGGCAATTACTTCCATTTCATACGAAAAGTAACTTTTGCACTATTATTTTCATTATCATTTGATTCAATTGGTTAGTGAAGTTAGGGCTCGAAAGTATTTCATACTGTTGACAAGCAGAAAAATCAATAGTACCAAACAGGCTCTTTTATTTTATTTTATTTTATTTTATTTTATTTTATTTTATTTTATTTTATTTTATTTTATTTTATTTTATTTTATTTTATTTTATTTTATTTTATTTTATTTTATTTTATTTTATTTTATTTTATTTTATTTTATTTTATTTTATTTTATTTTTATTTATATGGAGTATTAATTTATGTTTGGTAATATAAGCTGGGTGTTTTGTCTTCAATCACTATATTCACGATTTTACTTTTGTGTGATCTTAACCTGATGGTTCTTGTATAGTACAAAGCTCACAAAGGAGAAGAAGTCTAAGAAGAGAAAGGAGTCACAGGACGAGAATGCTTCGGATGAAGACATTGTGGAGGATTTGGTGCTTAGCTCCGACGAAGAAGATGGTTCTATAAGCGACACACCCACAGAAGACGTGAGCAAGAAGCAGAAATCAACTGTAAGGTCATCTAAGAAGAAAGGTAAGTTCAATCCAAAGAGATCAAAGAAGAGAAAGCTTTCCACTTGATCAAGCAATTTTGAGCTGAGGCCCAATTTTCAAATGAGCATCTTTTCTCAATTTTGATGTTTGCTTAATTTTCATATCTTCCTTTTAATTGTGGTCATATATTATATTATACATTGAACCATTCATTGGTGCTACTTTTACTATTTTTATTAGTTTGGTTGAACTTGAGGTTATATATTTATTATTGCATATGCATATCCAATTAGTCTAGGCTTATTGAATGATTCAATTTGAATCATAAATAGATTCATTGAAGATGAAACTAGACATCCAAGATGAAATCATAAATTAGACGCTGGCTTATGATTTTGGTTTTGTATTGCTATTGTAGCAGTATGTGGCGTCAATGAAGGCTGTTACAACTATTGGTATACTTGCTTGTAATAATCAAGTTTAACAATGGTTTTTTCTCGTATTTATGCTTTTCATCGCCTATGGTCTTGCCTACTTTATCAGGGCGGGGAGCCGGGGGGATCATAATGTAAGCAACAATTGTACGCTGCATTGCTGCAATGAAGCTCACTGTCGTTGTAAATCTCATATAGTAGGAATGCAAAATGGAATGACCATATTTAGGCCTGGACTCGGGCCGGCGGTTCAGAATGGGTGGACCCGGGACTGGCCCGGGTCCGGGCCGGGTCGGGACTCCATTTTTTTCCCTAGCCCCCCCCCACCCCCCCGCACCCCCAAACCCCTCCTAACCATCAAGCCCAACCCGGGTGGAAGTGTGGAACCCCAAAAAATGAAAAAAAAAATCAATTTGGCCCGGACCTGGGCCTGACCCGGCCAGGCCGGTTCGCCAAATGTAAGACCCGAGCCCGGACCTGCCCCGGGCCTAGGCCCGACCCGGACCCGAGAACTGGGCCGGTCCCGGTCCCGCACAGTAGCGGGCTGGGCCGGTCCATGGGCCGGTGGCCCGACCCGAATCCACCCCTAACCATATTGTGTTTGCAGTCAACCACCCAAACATTTCACGAACTAGCAGCCATTCGGCCAAAAGTCGCACTTATAAGTTATAACTTCAATAGTAGATTGACTTGCTCTAAGGTCCAGAATCCAGATGTATAGACGTATAGTTATCCATAGTTGCACCCAGGGTAAATTTAATGCTGATTCTTTACCATTTTCAAAAAAGAAAAACAGAAAACAAAACTGCAACTTGTTGGATTCCGAGACCAAAATTATAGCTATCCGCCTATCCCTAATTGTACCTGAAGGCTGAGGTGAATGCGGATTTGGTTCTAGCATATACGGAGTACTTGTTTGAAGAAACTGAACTAGAACTGGTCCGATTTGGTCTTGTTTCAGAGAAACCGAAACAGTTTTGAAGGGTACCCAAATAAGATTTGATTTATTTGGAACAAGAAAAAGGGCTTTTAGTACAAACTTTAACGCTTCAAAACATTCTCATTTCTCAATATAGTCATTGCTTCGTTATTTTATCAAACTCCAAGTTAGTATCTATAGTGTTACTGTGTTAAATCATATGATCATATCTCAACAAATAGTGAAAAAATGACATTTAATTCCAATTTTGCCACTCATTATTAGACTCTTCCAACATTGTGAACCCATGGTGATATAGACTCGGTCACATTTCTTATGTTTTAAAGAAAAATTCTATTGGTACAAATAATGTGTACACCCTTTCCCGTGTACACAAACATCTCGTTTAGAAAAAAACAGCAATTGTCAGTATATACCGGCGAGTGTAAAAATACACAAAATGTGTACACCCCTGGTTACCTGTGCAGAAGGGCAACTCGTTTAGAAAAAAACAACAATTGTCTGTGTAGACAGACAAATGTATCAAATATGTGCAAATTTTGTGTACACAAAAAATGATTGTATGGTTGTGTTAAAAATGTACATGTTGGGATACACAAAACAAGTGAGGTGCAAAATGTAATATTAAAAGGTACACATGAAATCATTTTGTAATAACGGTATGCTGCATCAACATTTGGTAAAAAGTGTAGCGTCGTTAGATTATTCTTAGAAATTACCAATGATATATTTTTGGCCAAACACAACCTTTTTGGAAGTGCAAAACAGAAAGTTATCTTGAAGTTCACCTGCCAGTAGACAATTAGGCAATTCAGAACTGCAAGATGAGATATTTTCTCTCTTTGCCATTTCAAGATCTGTTAGATTGTTAGTTGGCACCAACTATTTACTGCACTATAATATACTATTACCGATGTCCTATATGACTATATTGAATGTCTTGTTTTAGTTTGATATGATTGTTAATAAACTAATTGACAAGTAAATATTATGGTTAAGATGAGTTGAGTAGAATAAAATGAAATGATATAGAATACAAATTTCATTACAGAAAAGAAACAACATATTCATTCATTTTGAGACATTCTAAAAGGGAGAGTAAAACAATCAAAATGTGACAGAGGAAGCACTAAGAAATATGAAGTAAAAATTACCTTTATGCATGATGAAGAAGTGGTTTAGCTCAGCTGATCATCGACTTACTCTCTCTTATGGGAGGTTCTAAGTTAATGCTCAAAGGAGTGAGTTTGATCTCAGTATATCCCAACCCCAACCCCCGGGGTAAAAAAATTACCTTCATGCATAAGATGCTAAGATTTGGTACCTAATTGTGCTAAAAGATGACAACAATGTAACACATTTAGTAATGTCGCGATAAAGTGATTTTTTGGGCAATACGAAAATTGCATTGATTGAAAATAAAGTGTACGAACATTTAAATGTGAAGATTTTGCCTAATAACTCAGGACTTTGTAAGTGAAATTTTAATGTGCAATATTACCAAGTGTTACGTTGTCACGTTAGGATTTAAGCATAGATATATTTGAGCATACTAAAATGTGCGTCACCTGAACTCTTTAAAAAATTCCAACAGTATCCCATTCAAACATCATTCCAAGATCCTTTCTGATGTATATAAAAAGATTATTCCTAGATTAAAAAGGTGAAGTTTTTTGATTTTTTCATACGAGAAAAGAGAAACAATATGATGTGCAAACTATTTTCTAAAAAATGTGAGAGAGAAGTTTTTTAGATGGAGAAAAAGGAATTTTGAAAGAACTAAGGTATTCAAAGTACACTGCACAACTCCACAAACAAACGTGGGGGAGAAATCATACCACTAAACCTTTCCCCACTTTGCAAACATAAAAAGTAAAAAAATGAATGCAAATTATTTCTCAGTCCTCACTTAAATCTTCGCTTGCTTCGTTCTCAATTCAGGTTGTTCATTTTGAGCTTCACTCCACTATTATTTTTCTCCCCTCCCCTGTAAGCTTTTAGAGAAAGTTCCCCTAGTTTTGCTTTGAGATTTCTTTTGGTGGCAGAGAAGAAGTATGAAGAAATGTGACCATGAAGACTACTCTATATCTGAGTTTGATCCTTGCACAGATTTTGAAGAGGTATGTGATGGATACACTTTGAGGCTTTGATTCTGGAAACTATTAATGCCTTTTCCTCTACATCATATGACTATTTGATATGCATGACAATTAGGCTATTAAACATTAAATAGGGATCCAAGGTATTTAATCTTGAAATAATGACGGAAAGGGGACTCCTGACTTTCCTATTGACAAAACTAAGACTTAATTTAATTTGGTCGCAAAAGTGATCAAATAAAATTGAATAGACATGTATACCCTCTAAGCTAACCAAATCCTTCGTTTCCCACACAACTTTGCCATTCGCGATTCGCATCTGTAATTCACACCCTGCGCCTCCAAATCCAGACCCGCACAGACTCGACTCCGTCTTCAGGTCTCCTCATCCAAAGCCAGGTTGCCGCCTCTCCTCCGTTTTCTGGTCACCATCTCTGAGTCTCCGCCTCGGTCGCCATCCGCTGCTCGTTTCCTTCTTCTTCTTCTCAATTTTTCGGTCGATCTGGCATATTGCTATAATGACGAGAGGCTCGGATTAGAAGAAGTATACGACTTCAAATCGGGGTGGAGGATAGGTTTTTTTTGCGAGGACGGTGGTCTGCTGGGGCTGGGCGGGAAGAGTGTAGTGGTGATACGATACGATTGCAGGGGCTAGGTGTCGGTGTAGCGTGCTATGGTGGTTGTGCCAGGGATGGGGTTGGGAAGGGGGCTGCCGTGGCGCTCATCGTCGGGGAGGGGTGGTGGTGGTGGGATGAGGTGGTTTTAGGGGCTGGGGTGGGTTTGTGCAGGGGATGGGAGCTCGGAAGGGGGCTGCTGCGATGGTGGCCCTGCCGTAGGGTGCCGACGACGACGGCAAGTGGTGGTGTTATGTGGCGGTGGTGGCTAGCACCGGTCAAATTCGGACCGGGTAAGTGTAACCGGGCATACGAGTTAAATGTAATGTCAGGTTGGATAACGGTGATTGACCGAGTAACCGTAACTAGTAGGATCGGGTAAATTATGACTGATGAATCGGGTAATTGTAATTTGTAACCGGTTATGTTGGGTTACTGTAACTAACCACTTGAGTAACTATAATTGGTCAAATAATTGTAATTGGCGACTGGTAACTGAAACTGGTTGAATCGAGTAACTGTAACTGACAGGTCAGGTAATTGTAGCTGGTTAGGTCGGGTAACTGTAACTGGTCGGACATGTAACTGTAACTGGTCAGGCGAGTAACTGTAACTGACGGGTCAGGTAAATGTAATTGGTCGAGTAACTATAATTGATCGGGTCGGGTAACTGTAACTGGTAGGGCGGGTAATTGTAACTGGTCGGGCATGTAACTGTAACTGGTCGGGTGAGTAAATGTGATTGGTTGGGCGGGTAACTGTAACTGGTCGAGTGGGTAACTGTAACTGGTCGGACGGGTAACTGTAACTGGGACAGCGGTAACTCAAGCGGTATTAATTGGGGCGATAGTCACTGGAGTGGTAGTAACTGAGAATGTGGTCACTGGAGTTGTAGTCACTCGGACGATAGTCATCGAATGGGTCACTAGTAATTGGAATTTTGGTCACTGGTGAATTTTGGATTTTTGGTCACTAATGATTTTTGGTCACTGGACGTTGGTAACTGGACGGACGAACGTTGGTCACTGGTCGAGGTTGATTACTTGACGACATTTTTGGTCACTATTAATTTTTGTCACTGACAGATTTTGAATTTTTGGTCACTAATAATTTTTTGTCACTGGAGGATTTTGGTCATTGACGGATTTTTGGATTTTTGGTCACAAATGATTTTTGGTCACTAGATGGATTGGTCATGGTCACTAGTCGGATTGGTCACTGGACGGGTTGACGTTGGTAACTAGGTAAAAATTTTGGTCACTAATGATTTTGGTCACTGACGGATTTTTGGAATTTTGGTCACAAATGATTTTTGGTCACTGGGTGGATTGGTCATGCTCACTAGTCGGATTGGTCACTGGACGGGTTGACGTTGGTAACTAGGTAGTATTTTTTGTCACTAATGATTTTGGTCACTGACGGATTTTTGGATTTTTGGTCACAAATGATTTTTGGTCAGTGACGAATTTTGGTCACGATAATGATTTTGGTCACTGTGGCGTTATTGTAGACTAATGGGTGAGATTCTATTAAAATAAGGGTATAATAGTCTCTTAACCCATTGTTAGTCTCATTTTTGGAAAATTGAAATAAAGGTCTCTTTTTTGTTCATAGCTCTTTTTTTAGTATTATTTTAGACATAACCCCTTTAATCTTACTTTGGCAAGAAGGGGACATGAAGATGAGAAGATCGTAAATGGTAGGATTGTGACTCGAATCTTAAGATTCCACTATATGTGTGTACATTGTCTGGACCTTACTTTGGCACTATCATAAAGTGTCATAAAGTGTCTGGCATTGATGTGAGCAAGACACCCCTAAGGGAGAAGATCTCAATCCATTAAAAAGATATTCATTCTACTATGAAATCACTTGCATAGGAATACTTATGACACCACAATCCTTTTGGATGTATCAATCTTATCTATTCTTAGCCTTATTAGTTATTTTACCAAACATATTAATGGATGTTGTTAAAATATGATAAGCTTACTATCAATAAGGACTAGATGGAAGAAAGTTGTGGATATAGGGAATGAATTATAAAAAATTATGGATCTAAAACTTATCCGCAACTTCACCAATTTCAGCCGATTTAAGCCTGACTAAATGGGCTCAAAGATATACTCTTATACCAAGGTTTTACTCTATTCTGTATTTGATGATAATACGAGGCAATGTTGTGTTCAGTTTTTGTCAGAAGCAAGAAAGAATGTAACAAGCGAAGGTATTCTTGGAGTTACAATTACACCACCACATCTTGAAGTATCAAATAAGAAAAAAACGAGAAACACATCATGGAAAAGAACACTGTTTTCATGGTTAAAGAGAGAAAAGAAGAACAGTGATAAAGGATCACCAAAGATGAACATGTCCAAGCAAAGCAGTGGTTGTGTTTCTGGACCGGTACATTGCCATCGGAGTGCAACATCAACTCCAAGGCCTCGGAAGACTCAATCGGGACCCATCATGAGTCTCTTCTTCAATGACGGCGGGGAGGAAGATGGTAGGGTGCCATATATGTCTCTTGAAAAGATGAAGACTCCTAAGGTAGTTCAATCCTATGGACCTGTTTACTTGGTTACATAGGAAAACCGCTGATTGAAAATGTGATTTTGCTACATTAAAAGAACAAAAGATTGATTCTTTATTTTTTTTGTCTTCAATCTCCAATATCTATTTGTTTCCGAGCACACACACTTGAAATGTAACTGGAAGCTTAATCAGAACCATCAAATCTGCAACTTACCTAGCAAGGGTGCAAGATTGATTTAGTAAGTGTAAAATTGCAAAGTAAAAGAGTTTGCAGTAGCATTGAAAGCCGTTATAATTTGGCAAAATTCCATTCCTAATAGTATAACCTAAGGCATTCCATTTCATTAGATACGACTATCATAGTGTTTTTTCTAAAGAGTGAAGAATAAGAAGTCAGCTCATTCATTACTAATTACATCCTCCATCCCATCTTACATCTTTCTTTTTTAGAATGTTTCAAAAGTTTCTTCACATTTTCTTTTAAAAATAACGATGTCATATAACTGTACTTGCATAAAGACTGTTCTAAGTCACACTGTGAAGAATATATCGGGATGAAGGGAGTACTTTATTCTTTTTAGGACTGATCAGGTTTGAATTCTTAACATAGTGATTCTTCTATTCTCAGGTTTTACTCATTTTTATCATAATTTCCATAAAAATTATGTATATTTGAATGACAGTATATAAAGATGTAGAAGGTTATCTCTTTTATGCAAAACAAGTTTAAGAATCATTCAACTCGCATGGGTAGTTAAATCAGTTGAAAGGTGAACTTAGTGATTAATCATAGTTTTAGAACTACTATTATTCATTCTGGATTGAGTTATATCATCATAGTTCTTTATCAACTAGAACTATGTGGTGATATTTTAAGCAGTGTGCCTTTATGAGGATATAAATACAAATTTCTAACTGATATTAACATAAACTTTGCACAACCTTTTTCCAAATAGAATCCAATAAAAAATCTGTACTAACATATACAACAGAAGAAGATCCAATATATTAGCAGTGGCTTCTCCCACCTTGTTCCACATCAACAATGATGTCTTTTATTTCCCTTCTAATCATGAATAGCCTCTTTAGTGACCTCAATCTTGTCATCATCCTAGACTCTTCTTGATCATGCTCTTCCTCAACAATCTCCATAGTATTACCAATTGCAGCTGAGGATGAACATGGAACCTCCAAGGTAGGACCCAACAAGGTGCTAACCTGAGTCTCATCTCCCCAAAACAACACATTGGTGGGAAAATTAGGAGATGCTCCGCCTGCTTCTGGTATGGGTTCCAATGGTGGATTCGGGTCCGTAATCGGGTTTCTACAGAGAGGGCAGGTGGAATGAGATTCAAACCATTTATCAATACAGCCCACATGAAACCCATGGTTGCATTTGGGCAAAAATCTCACCTTTTCACATTCACACACCTCACTCAGACAAACTGTACATTCCAAATGTTCTTCAAAATCTTTGGAACTGAACTCAACTTCTGGTATGGTTTTTAGCACTGTGGGGTCCAGACCTGTTACACCCACTTCTTGGTCGTCATCGGCGGTGCTAAGGCGGTCTGGCTGGTGGGGATTTAAGCATTTGGTGTAAAGATGGATCAAGAACGTACAGTCCAGCACTAAGAAGAGACAAACAATGGCTGCCACCAACATGATTCTTCTTGTTAACTCAAACTAACTGATTCGCCCAAAAGATTGAATATTTGACCGTTCCAAATCCAGAAAAGATCTTTCATAACATTTGAGGGAACGAAAGAAGAAAATCCCAAAAATCAAACCTGTTTTTCTTGAAAGTTGCACCAGGAAAAATTAAGGTTGTGGGTTTATATGCAGACTTTTTCAGAAAATGTAGGCTAGCAATCCGAAAGAGAAAACGAACAATAATAAAGTCGGTAAACTACCTCATAGCTTCCTGCTAGAATTTTCTAAAAAAAAAAAGCTTCCTGCTAGAATTTTTAGTTCATTCGCTAAGAGAACTTTCTTCAGTTCTTTGTTTATTGGGTTGAATGATGTTATACTTCGTATGTTACTTGTATTTGAGTTTGACCCTCTTACCTCTTAAAAAAAGTGTGTGACTACGTAATGCATTGCGTTGTAATGGAGTAAAGAAATGTCAAATGTCACATGGGTGGGTATTTCTTTCACTTTTGTTGAAAATTCAAAAATCTGCTCCAAAAATTCTTTGTTCATCATTCAAATATAATGTGATCTTAAACTCTACGAGTATTAATTTTGTGGTAATTGGTGTGTGACAAATCTTCTAGAGTTCTAGTCTACTTCTAGAGTTCTATATATTACACATCCTTACCATATACAAAAGTTCTCGTCCATTATCCTCCGATCGATGTAAAGTCTAATTAATCTTTAATTCTATATATTAAAATTTTTTCAGATTTGAGTTTCTTTGCCATTTTAAAAAAAAATTAATGTAGTTTTTAAATATGTAAATTTATTTTTTTAAGAAAAAATCTAATAACATATCTGAATTAGTTTACTTTATGATCAACAAAAATAATATTGAAATTATTTTTCTGTCTGTATTGGCTAAAGTTAGAAAATTGTTCTAACTGTTTTTCATATAATTTTTTCTTTCTTAATAATAAAATACTTCATATTTCTTTTTTTAAATTACCAAAATCAGCTAATTCAACAGGTTCAATCAAAACTTGCTGAATTTTAGTAGAATTATGCAATAGAACCAAATTACAAATAGCCAAATGCTCTAAATCTAAACTAGTAGGGCTATCTTCTGTCAAAAAAGAATCAGCGACCTGTATAAACCATTCATCGTGTCACCCCAACACGTGCCATTACAATGGGCATTTGCAGACATCTCTACCTATTTTCTACATTCCGTCCATTGCCGTTGACTGGATGAGCTACCCATGTCTTTGTTTGGTAAGACCTTTCGCCATTTCGCGCGGCGTTATTTGTAGTTTTCAATATTTTCAAATCCAACAGTTCATCCTAAGAAAACTGGATTTTATTTTATTGTATTTGATATAGATCAGTTCAGTGTTCTCGTTATAGGCTGTTAGGGTTTCTTATGCAATAGTATCTTGTGCTGTGATGCAGATATTGCTCCTGCAGGGTTTGCTTTCCAGAACGATGTTTGTGCAGTTAATTCTCACATTGTCTCCTGCAGTAAATACAATTCGTGGAATGGTATTCGGCTTTCATCTCTGCGGAATTCATCGTTCTGTTTACTTGGGAAAACTCATGGATTTGGGGAACTTAAGTTATACCGGGGTGAGTTGATGATAAGAGCAGTGGCCACTCTTGAAAAAGAATCAACCAAAGCTAACCAGATAAAACAGGACGGTGTTGGCTATAAAACTAGAATGATAACAAGTATTGATTCGGGAAGTTTGATTTGTAGAGTTAATGAGTCTACTGAATTGGACGAAAGAGAGAAATTAAGACGGGGTAGGATTTCTAAAGCAAACAAAGGGAAAACGCCCTGGAATAAAGGCAGGAAGCACAGTCCAGGTAACCTGATATTCACTTAAGTTTTAGCTGTTTCCCAGCATTGGACAATTAGGGTCCTCAATCATGATACCTTTGACCACTTGCAGAAACCCTGCAGAAGATTAGAGAGAGAACGTGGATTGCAATGCAGGATCCTAAGGTGATGTGATGTAAAATGAATGCTGCGGAGAAAGACTAGATTAAGCATGATTTAGGATTAATGCTTGGTCGTGGAAAGTTTACCTTAACTAACAATGTGGATGAATATTGCTACAATATGACAATTTTGGCTATAGGTTTATATTATTGACCAGTCAAATTCAACATGCACAGGTAAAGGTGAAGCTAAGCAACTTGGGGCATGTTCAAAGGTATGTTTTAAAATTAATTTCTAAGTCAATTGCTATGATTTCAATATACAGTTGTTCTTTTAAAATTTTAATCTTATCTGAGAAATCTGAAATACGTAGTAGTATTTTTTTCTCTATTAGAAAGAACAATGCAGTATAACATCTATTAGGTCCAGTTACCAAGGTTGATTGCCTTTCAATTAAGTATATTGGTTCAATTTTTACCAGGGCAGGTCTTTAGTAATACTTAGTAACACTCTTTAGTCTAACGGCTTCATAAGCTAGTTTCTTACTAGGCATGACCATGACCAGTATATGAGACCATTGTCATACATTTTTTAAAGATAGATAATACAAACTGCACAAACTTAAACCAAATTAATGATCACAAGAACTCTTTTATCTACTGATAAGTATTGGTGTTACCTGTTACACTTAACTTCTAGTTATTGATTGCAAGAGTGTTATTCGAACCATCATGAGACTTGTATAAGTATAGTAATAAATTGATATCCAGGTTGATTATAATGATCAATTACAATAACTTCTCCCCCTTAAGTATATAAGTTGAGTAGAAACTTGAATCACATAGAACATGGCGTTTGGCTTCCTTGTGCAGTAAGCAAACAAGGTTAAAAATTGGAGTCAGTGTGCAACTTGGGTGGAAAAGGCGCCAAAAGATGCTGAAACTGCAGGAAACCTGCTGCTATGAGTGGCAAAATTTAATTGCAGAAGCTTCTAGAAAGGGCCTTCTTGGTGAGGAAGAGTTGGAGTGGGACTCATACCAGATTTTGGATCAACAGCTTGAAGAGGATTGGTCACAGGGTCTTCTGCAGAGGAAAAAAACACTTAAGCCAGAAGGTAACAATAGGGCTCCTAAATCTGCTGAGCAGAGGAAGAAGATTTCTGAGGCCATTTCCGCCAAATGGGCTGATCCAGTTAAGAACTATTTATTTGTTTTGTCCCCCCCCCCCCCCCCCCCCAGAATTGACCCCACCTTATCACACCCTCCCTGTTTTTCTTAAGAACGTCGGTTGTCACCCACTCATGGTCCAAGCTGGCAAAATGGGCATTGATAACGATATTTGTTGCCTAAGATGGCTAAATTGTTTCTCTGAAATGGATGAATCTGCTGGCATGCGGTCAAAAGGCAGCCATGGCGGAAACATAGCAGCTCGACGTATGAGATTTATGAAGAATGGCAGGTTATGGCGATCTATGGTTGCACCAGACTTTTTTCCATCTGCCATTAATGACACTTATCTGCTGAGTAAATATTAAAATATATTTGTTGAATAAAGTAAAGCAAACACTAGCAGTAAATGAAGGCAAAAACGTCATTTTTAAATTTCATCGCACTTCAGCTCAAAAAGTATATGTTGTACTTTTTTCATTATTAGCTGGTTCAAACAAGACAATGAAATAATTTTTGTTTTGTGAACCATGTGGCTGGTAAACTGGAGAAGGGGATACCTAACTGACACTTTGCTCTTTTACCTGTATTTGATTACTACTTAGTTCATGACATATTTTGTTCTTTCCAAATAGGATTACAGAAGGCGAGTCTGCTCTGGTCTGGCCAAGCATCATGGCGTGCAAAAAGGGGTTGAAAGAAAGCCGAGAAGAAGGCCTAGTGGTGATGGACAGACCAGAATAAGAAGAATTTCATCCACGAAAAAAGTTAATATAGATGGGTCAACTGTTTGTATTCCAGAACAACGAATTAAACGGGATACATTGAAGAGAACCTATACACCAAAAGGCAAGGATTCTTTAACAAGACCCACACTAGAATTGTTAATGAATATCAGGTCACGAAGAGCCGTGACTGACAACAAGAAATTTGAGGCTGTCAAAAGAGCAAAGTGAGTTCTTTTTCTCTCTTTGCCTGGCTTCAGAGTCACCTATCTTGGTATCTTCTTTTATATAAGACCATCGAGATATGAAATTGGTAGCTTAGAAGTTAGAGACATTTAAACAATGAAAGTGAACACAATGCAGGCTACTATTATGCATGCCAAAATTTGGGAAGTCTAAGAAAAATGGCATTTACCGCACATGTATGAACCCGTTTGATATGGGTAAATGTGTTTGGAAGGGCTGGTTTTGCTAAAATATTGGCTGTATCATCTAAAATTGTATGTAAATATATTTCCTTACCAAGTTAATTGAAATAATTTCTAAAAAGAGGATAGAAGTGTCAATCCCCTTCATTTCAGCAAAAAGGTAACTTCTGCAGTACTTTAATTATCATCAAACTGAAATAAGTCGGTATTTAGTAAAAAATGTTTGATAAGAAGAAACACAGGCTAAGAAGTGGACATTAAAACTCATGTGGAAGATGTCCCTAACTAAGCTATACTCATTAAACTGAAATAAGTTAGTGTTTGGTAAAAAAAGGTTTGATAGGAAGAAAAGACATGCTAAGAAACGGGCATTAAAACTCATACCAATTCTGAAAGATGTCCCTAACTTTCTTTCCAAATCGTGGTCTTGTTTTGCAATTACTGTGCTGATGCACTTGTTATTATTAGGGGTCTGATCTATTTTGGATAAGTTTAATTTGAAGGGGAACTTTGTATACTTGACAAATATTTTCAGGTTATTAATTGCCGAGGCTGAGAAGGCGGCAGAGGCTCTTGAGATTGCAGCTACAAAAAGTCTGGTTGCTAGAGCATCGCTTGTTGAAACCAGGAAACTTATTGCAGAAGCAGTCCATTCCATTAACTTCATAGATGACACGGAAGAGATGTTTCCTGGTGAACATGTTGATGATTCTGTAAATTCAGAAGAGATTGAAGGTTTGGATTCTACGATTGATGATCGAAAAATGAATGAAGTCCAACTAGCTAATAATGGAATTCTTAGCTTAAAGTTTACTGACAACTCCTCCCATGGTTTTAAACTGAATGGGAACGAAACAGCAATCTTGTCAAGCTATAAGGAAAAACTGTACCAGACGGTTTCCGGGGACACTGTCTGTGACACTGGTGATGACGAGGCAAATAAGGTGGAAGATGAAGAAGAACTTCCAAATAAAATGTCATTGCATCACTATCCATTGCCGCCAAATGGAATGAGGGCAAATGCCCCAACCAGAACCAAGCAATGGGTACGTGGGAGGTTAGTTGAAGTAGCACATGAAAGTTAGAGTATTCATCACTTTAGAGTAGGCCTACTTAAGAGTTAAGGATACATATTTATGCATATACCTAGCTATTCAGAATGACCTGATAATTAGGACTAGTCGCAAGCCCCAAAGTTAAAAACCCGGTATATATTGAGTGTTCTTGGTGGGGATTCTAAATAGCTGTGCTTTTTGTTCATTTCAAATTGATGTGCAAATTTCAAGACCATAAAACATGCACACATTTATACCATAAACTTGTAATTTATGTGGTGTTGCTTTGAGTGCAATGCCCATAGAATTTTTTAAGATTAGATATGTTATTACCTGTTAGGTTTTTACTCCCAAATTATTATAGTTGTAATGCAAAGGTACTTGGTTGGTGTACTAGGACAGTCCACGAAATGTTGAAATGCTAGAATGATTAATCTTAATAGGCATAAAGACTGAAGGATCGTGCTTCTAAATTTTGGGAACATGTTTATAGACGATATTTATAAAAGCTTTGCTGCTTGTGAAAGCATTTTTCTCAATATATGATCGAACTTGAGATAATGAGTTACCTTTAATTTTGTTGCTCATTGCGAAGTAGACCGTGATTAGGAATCGGTGCCTTTTTAGGAATTGAAACTAGATGTAAATTTTCTCACATTTTTTTAAAAAAAATTGGATGGCACCGCATTCGTGAGGGCACCATTAATTAGGAGGAGGTGAATTAAATTCAATCATGTACTAGCAGAGTAGCAGATAGTGAGTGGGTCTTTGGTACAAGTAATTGCAGAGATTTTAGCCATTTTTAAATAGTAATCTATCATCACATCTTTGGTACAAGTAATTGCAGGGATTTTAGGCATTTTTAAATAGTAATCTTTTTATGGGGATTCGAACTCAATACTTATCTCTTGTAGCATACTCCATCTACCAGTTGAGGACTTGAGGTGTGTTCATTCTCACATATCTTAGAGTGATTATTATAGCCAGGGAGTTATACGTTAGTACAAGTTTTCTCACAATATTAGAATCAACCTTCTCACAAAATTGTCTCTATTTCTTTGTTATGAAATAGCGGTCAGTCCATGCAATTTCGATTTTCACTATGGATCGTCCGGAAACAGTCTTTCTATGCTTTAATATAAGGATAAGATTGCTTACATTCTACCCTCCCTTACCCCGTAATAGATGGGAGTCTTTGCGGCACTGAGGTAACGGTGATGAATGATGATATTGGTCAATCAATATCTCAAATCAACTCTTGAATTAACTTAAAATTCATCTCCAATTAAGACAAAATAGAGTTTTCATGGTGCAAAATTGCAAAAACGAATTCAAAATGGGCCCATAAACTTTGAAGTAGACCTGGACTCGGGCCGGGCGGCCCGGCCCGGAACCGGCCCGGCCCGGTTACTGTGAGGCCCGGCCCGGCTGCTGGGCGGTTCGGGCTCGGGCCGAGGTTTTGGCGAACCGGCCCGGCCGGTTCGGGCCCGGTTCGGTCCGATTTTTAATTTTTTTTTTTTTTTTTTTAATTTTTTTAAGTTTTGGGTTGGATTATGTATTTTGGGCCATTTGAGGTGGTTTGGGATAGTTTGGGGTTGAGAGGGAGGGGTTGGGGGTTAAATAGAAGAGCCAAAAAAAAAAAATATTTTCGGTTAGGCCCGGCCCGGCCCGGCCCGGTTTGGCCCGGAACCGGAACCGGAACCGACCACCGGCGGTTCGGGCCCGGGCCCAACTATCCTGGCCCGAGGCCCGGCCGGGCCCAGGCCCGAACCGGGCCCGAACCGGCCCGAGTCCAGGCCTACTTTGAAGCTTTACATTTTCAAAAGTCAAAACCTCAAATATATTCATAAAAACAAAACACTAAGCACAGCCCTGGTTCAGCACTTTGGTCGTGTCGTTTTACATGATCAGCTATTTCATTTTTGAAGAGTACCAACAAAATAAATATAATTGGAAGATATCTAAAATATTAGGCCCTAAATTTTTAACATTTTTGGGGCACTGAGGCCCATGCCTCAGTGGCCTCACACAAAGCACGGCCCTAACCTGAGGTTTGGTATGCGTTCTAACATTGTGAGACACTAATTCCTTATACAATACCTCCCTTTTAGTTATACGAAGTATAATTTTATCTTCTTATTTCACATAGCAATTTAATTGAATCAACCTTAAGTAAGAGACCTTGATTAACTAGCTTTTTTTACCGTGTTGATTTATTTTCGTATCATATTTTTATATATATTCAAATAGTTTATATTACTAAAAATATTATAAATGTACTTGTTATTATAGATTTACAAATCATATTCATTCCGTTTAACTGAATTTTGTCAACTTTTTTTGTTGGTCTGTTTTTTTTTGTTACTCATAGGTTTTTCCTCACAAATTATTATAGTTGTAATGCAAAGGTACTTGGTGTACTAGGACAGTCCACGAAATGTTGAAATGCTAGAATGATTAATCTTAATAGGCATAAAGACTGAAGGATCGTGCTTCTAAATTTTGGGAACATGTTTATAGACGATATTTATAAAAGCTTTGCTGCTTGTGAAAGCATTTTCCTCAATATATGATCGAACTTGAGATAATGAGTTACCTTTAATTTTGTTGCTCATTGCGAAAGTAGACCGTGATTAGGAATCGGTGCCTTTTTAGGAATTGAAATGAAGCGTTACGTTGGATGGTGTTGACGAGTAAGATGACACTAGATGTAAATTTTCTCACATTTTTAAAAAAAAAAAAATTGGATGGCACGCCATTCGTGAGGGCACCATTAATTAGGAGGAGGTAATTAAATTCAATCATGTACTAGCAGAGTAGCAGATAGTGAGTGGGTCTTTGGTACAAGTAATTGCAGGGATTTTAGGCATTTTTAAATAGTAATCTATCATCACATCTGTGGTACAAGTAATTGCAGGGATTTTAGGTATTTTTAAATACGGAGTAGTAATCTTTCATCACAGTTATGGGGATTCGAACTCAATACTTATCTCTTGTAGCATACTCCATCTAGCCAGGGAGTAATACGTTAGTACAAGTTTTCTCACAATATTAGAATCAACCTTTTCACAAAATTTTCTATACTTCTAGGCATGGACTCGGGCCGGGTGGCCCGCCCCGGAACCGGCCCGGACTGGTCACTATTTGAACCAGCCCGACCCGGGAACCGGGTCATAGGGCGATTCGGGTCGACCCGGCCCGCTAGTCATACGGTTCGGGCTTGGGCCTTAGGAAATAGGAATGGTGAACCGGCCCGGCCGGTTCAGGCCTGGTCCGGGCCAAATTTATTTATTTTTTTGATTTTTTTTTTAAGTTTTTGGGTTGGGCTGGGTATTTTGGGCCATTTGAGGTGGTTTGGGGGTGAGGGGGGAGGGTTGGGAGTTAATTAGGAGAAGCCAAAAAAAAAATAGATTGGACCTAGGCCCGGCCCGGCCCAGCCCAGCCCAAACCGGACCCGGGGGTTACCTGGGTCGGTTCCGGGCCTCTCATATCCTGAACCGTGAACCGGCCGGGCCCAGGCCTGAACCGGAACCGGTCCATGCCTATGTACTTCTCACAAAATCAGTCCATGCAATTTCAATTTTCACTATGGGTCATTCGGAAACAGTCTCTCTATGCTTTAATATAAGGGTAAGATTGCTTACATCCTACCCTTCCTTACCTCGTCATAGATGGGAGTCTTTGCCGCATTGGGGTAACGGTGATGAATGATGATATTGGTCAATCAATATCTCAAATCAACTCTTGAATTAACTTAAAATTCATCTCCAATTAAGACAAAATAAAGTTTTCACTGTGCAAAATGGGCCCATAAACTTTGAAGCTTTACATTTTCAAAAGTCAAAACCTCAAATATATTCATAAAAACAGAACACAAAGCACAGCCCTGGTTCAGCACCTTGGGTGTGTCGTTCCACATGATCAGCTATTTCATTTTTGAAGAGCACCAACAAAATAAATATAATTGGAAGATATCTAAAATATTAGGCCCCTAAATTTTTAACATTTTTGGGGCACTGAGGCCCATGTCTCAGTGGCCTCACACAAAGCACGGCCCTAACCTCAGGTTTGGTATGCGTTCTAACATTGTGAGACACTAAGGATGTTTTTACTTGGACTGTAATTTGCTGATTTGGTCTGATCTGGTCTGGTCTGAACTGGTCTCTTTGTATTTTCATAACTATCCAAGTCTGATCTGGTCTGAACTGGTCTGAGACAAATTACAGTCCAAGTAAAAACATCCTAATTCCTTATACAATACCGCCCTTTTAGTTATACGAAGTATAATTTTATCCTCTTATTTCACATAGCAATTTAATTGGATCAACCTTAACTCCTTAAGTAAGAGACCTTGATTAACTAGCTTTTTTTTACCGTGTTGATTTATCTTCGTATCATATTTTTATATATATTCAAATAGTTTATATTACTAAAAATATTATAAATGTACTTGTTATTATAGATTTACAAATCATATTCATTCCGTTTAACTGAATTTTGTCAACCTTTTTTTGTTGGTCTGTTTTTTTTGTTATTTTTCTTTTAAAATATGTCGTAATAAATTTATGGTTCTGTTTGTTCTTTTCTCCTCTACACAAATCTCGACTACTCAAATTTTTCTTTTTGTTATTTCAACTTAAAGTTGACAAAATTTAATGGGGGAGAATTAAATCACTAATACGGAGTAATATTTAACATTTTTTTCAGTGAAAAGTAAAAAAACAAGGAGTTGGTATTTGGTAGTACCATTTGCATTTGAATAGTACGAATGTCTTCTTCCTTTTCTCCCCATATGTTCACGCAAGCTAAAATTAGAAACAGAGTGGAGTCCTACGTTGTAATGGCACTAAAAGTGGAAGTTTATGCGAAAGAGAGTGTGAAGCCACATTCCCCCACTCCTGAATCCTTGAGAATCTATAAACTTTCTCTCATCGATCAAATGTTTTGCCATTTTTACATGCCTGTTGTCTTCTTCTTCGCCGGCGGTTTAAATTTGAGTTTCTCAGGATTGATTTTGGGGGGCCGGTGTGGATGGGGCCCGGAAACGACTTGGAAGACGTGGTCCTGATATTGGACACGCCCGATGGGGGCATAGAGGCATGGATTGGGCTTCCTCCGGTTATCATGAATCACTTGGACCATGACCCAAACTTTCTTGCCCACGTCTCTCTAGCCCAAACTGTCTCTGGGCCGGAGTCTGCACCTCCACTTTCCATACCCGCGTGCAGCTATATGATCGAGTTCCGACTTCCGAGTTCCTATACCAAGGTTTTAGATCTTTTAGTGTTGTATTTTTCTACTCCCTTTGTCCGATTTAGATTTTCAAAATTTCCTACTTCGTCCGAAGTAATTTTCCATTTTCTATTTTAGGTTTTTTATTGGAAGATCTATCTTTAATAGTTCTTGTGCAAGTAAACTTTTGCAAATCAAATTGGGATGAAGGAAGTATATGAATTATGGTCAATAAAAAATCAAATCAAAACTGGTCCGATTTGGTCCTGTTTTGGAGAAACCAAAACAGGTTTTGAAGGTTACCCAAACCAGATTTGATTTGGAATAAGAAAAAGGGCTTTTACTATGGTGGTGCGACTGGTGTGTTATTGTGGTGATGCAACAATGTCAATAATATTACTCCATTGCATATCAATTCATTTTTACATAACTTCAACACTTCAACACATTCTCAATATAGTCATTGCTTCGTTATTTTATCAAGCTCCAAGTATACTATCTATAGTGCCAAATCATATCTCAACAAATAGTGAAAAAATGATATTTAATTCCAATTTCGCTACCCATTAATAGACTTTTCCAACATTGTGAACCCAAGGTGATATAGACTCGGTCACATTTCTTATGTTAAAAATGTACAATGTAGGGAGGCACAAAGCAAGTGAGGTACAAATTGTAATTTTAAAAGATACACATGTAACACCCCCTACCCGGCCCGGAAGGCTAGGACAGGGAGCGCTACCCGCAGTGCCGAAGCACCAAAGCGCAGACTAACTTTTTCATTATTCTAAAAACATTTTCATTTTAAAAGCGAGCTAATGATAATAACTTTTAAGAAAACTCATATTTGCGGAAGCATTCATATTTTATACATAATAAGTAAATGTTTAGTGTTACTGATGGACAATCTACCCGGGGGTATCTTATCCGAGGGGTTATTGCGGGAATAACTAGAGAGAAGTCAGAGTGAATAGGAGGAGAGAGAGTCGATTTTATTAAATGAACTCGAGATGCGGAGTTCAGATGTAGATTGTGTGTATTACAAGGAGAAATGGGCTGCTATTTATAGCAGCAATAAATGCGATGAGAGGACACGTGTCAGTAATCTAACGGCCGAAGGGTCACACCAGCCTGGTGGCACCGGCAGTGGTACGTCAACCGCATTGAATGCGGTTGGTGGATGCGACGTGGCATTAAATTCGGTGGTTGGCTGTCTCTATAAGGAATCTTCGATGATTGAGCTTGCTTGGCCGAAGGCTTCTTGTGTAGCCGAGGGCTCCGTGTAACCAAGGACCCCTGTGTAGCCGAAGGCCCTGAGTGGCAGAGGGCTAAGTTCAGCCGAAGGCTCCCCCTGATACCGAGGGCTTGGTAATGCCGAAGGCTCATGTTTTTTGCCGTTTTCTCCCAGTGGCTTCGTATGTCAGAGAGGGCTACTTCGTGAGTTTCTGAAGCCTTCGGACAAGGAGGCCGAAGGCACCCCAGTATGTATTTCGGGCTATTTTGGGGCTTGGGCCGTTGCTTTTGGGCCTGAGTTGTTCTCTGGGCTCATTGGATATGTGTAGCAGAAGCAGGAGTCTATGGGCCGGGGGTTCTTGGGCCATATACTCCATCAGGAGTCCCTCACTCCTTTTGCCGAAAGGTACTTGAGGGAAAAGGAGTAGTTGTGTTGATTCTCCCGGAGGCATACATCATTTCGTTGGGTGCCTTTGTTGGAGAATTCGTCTTCTGCTGATTGCCGAAGGCTTCCCTCAGGCCCTCACATGTCGAGGGTTTCCTGAGGGAAGGTATTCGTAACCTTCGCATGTTCGCCGGGGGCTCCTCTCAGTCCCTCATATGTCAAGGGCTTTCTGAGGGCAGTGTAACGCCTGTATGACTGCAGAAGGCTTTCCTCAGTCCCTCACATGTCGAGGGTTTTCTGGGGAAAGCATAGGTGTATTGCCTGCGTGTGTTGTGGTGAGGGCTGCTTTATTTCCGCAAGTGACTTGTAGAAAACTTGTGATATCCTGCCCCTGCCGAAGGGGTTCCACTTTGATGTTTGTCCGGAGGCTGCACGCGTCAATTGTAAATTGTTTGTTTCCAAGAAATTTTTGGTGTATGATCCCCGAGGGGTGTATGCCAGTCCCCCACTCCTTTAGGCCGAAGGGGAGTTCGGGATGAAGGAGTTATGATGAGTTGATGATCCCCCGAGGGGTGATAGCATTGATAAGCCGAGGGCTCATGCTGCTACGGGCTCGAAGGCGTTTGGTGGAATTAATTGTCCGAAGGGTGTGGCGGGTGATAGCCGGAGGCTATCATCCGAAGGCACCCGAGTGTTGCCGAAATATAGTCGTTGTAATATAGCCGTTGGAGGAGGAGTTGACGTGGCACGCCTCCGTTGGTCGGTAGGGGGCGGGTGCCATCCATTGGTTGAACCGGCGGCCCGTAATGATGGGCTTTCGAACCGAGGCCCATTTTTCGAGGCCCAGTTGCCTATATATACCCCAAGTCTGAGCTCATTTCCGTTGCGCGTTTTAGAATTGAAGCGAAGCTCTGCTGAAATTTCTAGAGAGAGAAAGTTTCACCCTCGATCAACCCAAGCTTTCTGAGGTCAGTTCCTCCTCTGCTCCCTTCTTTCATAGTTTTAGTGTTAGTATTCTAGGGAGCCCTCGGCTTCTTTCATTTCTCCTGCTCCTCTCTTCTGAACGCCTAAGGATGTCGTCGGCGAGTGACTCCCAAGACATTTCCGTGGAGGCCCCGGTTCAGTCGGAGAGCTACTCCGAGGTGGAGTCTTCAAGCGAGCAGCCCTCCGTTGGGGATGATGCCGCCGTAGCTGAGGAAATCCAATCCACTCTCCGGACGGAGCTAGAGGCTGAAGAGTTCGAGCAGGTGGTGGCAGATGAGGAGATGGCCATCGCCGTCCAGGTTGCGGAAGAGGAGGAAGAGAAAGATCGCCGTCGGGTGACCGTCGCTATTATGCCCTCTCGCGGTGCCGGTGAGGCGAGCACCTCCCGGCCGTTGGACGTGCAACCCCTCCGAGTAGCCGAGGGAAAGAAGAAGAAGAATTCGAGAGCTGCACCCAAGAAGAAACAAGCAGCCGTCGACGCGGGGCGACCGGTTGGGATCCCCGAGGGTCACTCCTATTTGGACACCACCGCCCTCGAGGTGAAGACTACGGCCTCGAGTGCCGAGTGCTATGCTCTGCAGGTCCTTGTGGGACCGTCGGCGCAGGTTGTGGAGCCGGGTCCGGAAGATTTGCTGTCTAATCCTCCGGAGGGGTGCTTCTCGGTGCACCTTTTGTCCGTGGAGCTAGGGCTTAGGTTCCCCTTACATCCCTTCGTCCTGCAGTATTTGAAGTTTGTGAAGTTGGCCCCATGCCAGCTCACGCCGAACAGCCATTATTACCTGGCGGGCTTCCTGGCCCTCTGTCGCAGCCGGAAGGTGGAAGCAACACTGGACCAGTTCTTCCTATCCTTCAATTTGTGCCGGGGAGGCCATTCACATGCCGGGGGATACGCCAACTTGCAACAGGTCCCGGCTTGGAAATTGTTCTCCGAGACCCCTTCCTCCCACAAGGAATGGAAGGAGAAGTTTTGCTACATCAGGCTGGCTGCAAACCCATTCCCGGGGGCTCTCAACAATCACTTCAAGAGGCACCCGAAGGTAGGCAATGCGGCCCTCGACAAGGCCGGGAAGAAGCTTATCGAGAAACCGGAAGGTTCCGATAAGGTGATTGCTATCAAGGCGGCGGCAGCGCCTGAGGAACTATATCTCTTGGGCTTCCGGCGTTATCGTCTACCGGAAGATAAGGACGAGAAGTATCCCGTGATAGCCCACGGATATCAGAGCGCCGGAGGTTGTAACCGGGGGCTCTTCTGTCTTGTACTTAGAATTTTTCCCGTATTTTACTTGTTCTGAATCTAACCCCTTCTGAATTGTTACAGGTGATATCATGGACGTTCAGGCCTTCGCTCGTCTTTCCAAAAAGCTGGCCAAGGTGCCAAGGAAGAAGAAGGAGGAGGAGGCCCCGCCGAACCAGCCTCTTGTTGATGAAGTATTGAAGAAAGCTGGGGCCCCCAAGACTTCTGAGGGGGATGGGGTGTCCCAAGAGATTGTTGCTGCAGGCGCCGGTGCTAGCGCCGGGGGCTCCCAAGCCGGGGAGCTCAAAAGGAAAAATGCCGGGAAGGGCGTCATGCCTCCGGAAAATAAGAAGAAGAAGAGGGGCGAGGGGGGCAAGGATGCCCCCTTAGTGATTATCGATGAACCCCCCACCTTCCAGCCCTCGGAGTCCACCCCCCTCGAGAATTTTGACGAGGGCGCATGGCCCCGGGAAACAGTGCAGTTCTCCTTTAAAAAGGGGACTGCAATCATGCACGGCACCCTCGATCCGAGGGAGTTTCTGAGGGGTGCCACTCCCCCGCTGGATCGGTCTACCCTTGGCCGGTTTGACGACGAGGCTCTTGAAGTCAAAGCCCTCCAGGCCTCGGTTTCTGTAAGTTCCCGGATCTCCTGCATTTCGCTTGTCGTTAGTGTCCTTTTCTTTGCATGTTTTTATTTTGAGTGTCCTCCCTTCGTTTGCAGGCCAGCCTGGCTTTCGGAGAATACGTCCGGAGAATGGAACAGCTTCGCCTCCGGAAGGCGGAAGACGATGAGGCCCTCAAGGGGCTCGTTGTCAAGAACACCGAGGCCATCAAGAAGATGGCCGAGCTGGAGGAGGTACTGAGGCAGGCGGGCGACAAGCTGGAGGCCGCGAGGGTGGAGGCGCGCGCCGAGGGGAAAGCTGAAGCTGTGAGAGCAGCTGAGGAGGCTTCAAAGAAAGCTGCTGATGAAGCCGAGAAGGCCAAGACTGAGGCCGTGGCCAAAGCCAAGGAGGATGCTGTTGCGGCTTTCCTTGCCGAGGGGTGGAAATCCGAGGCGCATACAGAATGGGCCGCCTCGGTCATTAAGCAGGGCGTTGATGCCTGGGTGAAAGGTCCCGGATCAGAGTGGATGGCCCTGAAGGGTAAAGACTACTTCGATGGGGGCGAGTTCTTCACTCAGCGCCTTATCTATCGGAAGTTGGCGGAGCATTTTCAGATCCCCAAAGATGACTTCGACCCCTCGGCATACGGCCTCCCTCCCCGGCAGCCTGATGTGAGGGTCCCCCTTCCGGAGGGCGAGGAGCGGGTTCAGCTGGCGGATTCTGAGTTGATGAGGGAGTATGGCCTCAATGATGAAGAAGAGGCGGCAGACGATGCATCCTCTAAGCCGAGGGATGACGCAGCTATGGATGCCCAATCTTAAGAATTCTTTTAAGTGTAAACTTTGTAATAGCAGTAGGCCCCGGCTTCGGCCATATCCTTGTAATGAAATACATTTCAATAACGTTTTCCTGTCTGAATGAATGATCGCCTTCGGGCTTTTGGATGAATGAATTCCTCCGCTTTATTTTATTGTATGAATGAATGTATGCCCTTCCTCTCTTTTGTCTCTTCTCCCGAGGGCCACGACCGTGTGGACTTAGAAAAAATTTTCTAAGTGAAAACTTCTGTCAACAAGCTTTCGGTTGTAGTATAGGTTCGCTGGGGGCTTGTAGTTGTGTACTTAGAAATTTTTCTAAGTAAGACTTCGGTCAAAACCCTTCGGCTGTAAAGCGGAACCTTCGGGGGGTTTGTGATTGTGTACTCAGAAAATTTTCTAAGTAAGAACTTTTGCCGTGTGCCTCCGGTCGTCGTGTAGGACCATCGGGGGGCTTGAAGCTGTGGACTTAGAAAATTTTCTAAGTAAGATCCCAGAATGTGTCCTCAGTGACTAGGCCCTCGGTAGTGACGGGCCTCCGATTGTAGTGTAGCCTCAGGTTATTGCCCAGTAGTTTAGGTGGGCCATCGGCTGTAAGCCTGTGGATGTAGATGGCATTCCGGTTCGACCCGAAGGGTCCCTATTGTGGACTTAGTCGTTTTTCCACGAAGTTTCAATAGGTGCTGTAGTGAACCTTCGGGCGTGGGAACTGCTGAGCTCCCGGTCCATGCAGTTGACGAGGGGTTCAAGATTATGGACTTTATGGAATCCTGAGATTCGTCTCCAATAGAGTGACCCTTCGGTTGATGAGTCTTCTCCGAAGGGCACCAAATTGTCATCATTGAGTGAGTTTGGTGGTATTCCGCCTTCGTCGTGAAGCCCTCGGCATGGAACGTTGTTGTCTTTGATTTAGCCGCATCCCGGTCTTAGCCAAATTTAGGTGAAATTTTGCTTAGTGAGCCTTCTTCTTGGGCCTCCGGTGGAAATCTTGTACTCCCAGGTTGCATGTAGTGAAACCTTCGGCTATGTAGCCGGATGACTCGTTGTTGAGAAATTTTTCGTTGCCTTTGTAGGAGCCTTCGGGAATGTATGTCCGAAGTGTTGAGCCTCCGGGGAGAATAGCATCCGGGGAGTTCCTTCCCCCCTACACATCTTATTTTTTTTTTTTTTTTTTTTTTTTTTTTGATGGTGTAGGAGAGGCATCTAGAAACTTGGTTTCTAGGAAAGGCTTGGCCTATATGGGAGGCAACGGAACAAACCGTTGGCTCCCCCTTCGGGAATGACCTTCCGATATCCCGAAGGGTTTGAGGGTCGTTTCCTCGGCCCGAGACATCGTCTGTTGCCTGCTTCCCCTTGGGAGATAGCACGGAAAGCGCCTCGGTTTTGAAAGTCGTCCCCTCAGCCCGAGACATGGTCTGTTGCCTGCTTCCCCTTGGGGGATAGCGCGGGGAGCGTTTCGTTTGTGGAAGTCGAATCCTGGGCCCGGGACATGGTCCGTTGCCTGCCTCCCCTTGGGGGATGGCGCGGAAAGCGTTCCTGGGAAGGGTTTTATTTGCGTGTGGAACACAAATAGCCGGGGGCACTTGATACCAGCCGGAGCCGAGGGGTGTTGCACCCCCCGGTTTTTTTTTTTTTTTTTTTTTTTTTTTTTTTTTTTTTTGGGAGAATATGTAAAAGTTTTTGAAAACACTTGGTGTTTTCAAAGAGTGATGGGGGTGGCCCATACACTTGGTACTTGGTACCTAAATTGTTGTTCCCCCTCATAAGAGGGAGTGGCCTTGGGCCTTTTATGGTGAAGAGATGAGGGGGCCTTGGGCCTCTTGTATAATATGTAGGTGGTGAAGGCTTGGCCTTTTGATTATTCTTCAAAAACAGATGGGGCCTTGGGCCATTGATGTTTACACTTGCTGAGGATGAGGGCTTGGCCGCTCATGCTTTATTGATAGAATTTGACAAGGTGGTGCACATTCCAATGTCTAGGGACCTCCGTCCCATTGGGGCGTTTAAGCTTGTACGTCCCCGGTTTGATGATGGCTGAGATGATGTAGGGGCCTTCAAACTTGGGCGCCATCTTTCCTCCTTCGGTGGGTAGACTGGCCTCCCTTCGTCGGAGGACGTAGTCTCCCACCTGGAATTCCCGGGAGCGGACCTTGGCGTCGATGTATCCTTTGACTTGTCTCCTATAGTTTTCGGCTTTGAGGAAAGCTTGCTCTCGGCGTTCCGAGATGAGATGAAGGTCGAGGGCCATGTTGGCGTCGTTGGCCTCGGGCTCATATTGTTCCACCCTTCGGGTAGGAAGGGTAACCTCCGTGGGCGCCTTAGCCTCGAAGCCATAGCACAGGGAGAAGGGTGTCTCACCTGTTGCACGCCGAGGGGTGGTGCGGTAGGCCCATAGGATGTTATGAAGTTCTTCTACCCAGCCTCCCCCTTCGGCTTCCAGCTTCTTCTTCAACCCCTCGAGGAGGGTGCGGTTGGCGTTCTCTACTTGCCCGTTGCCCTGAGGGTAGGCAACGGAAGAGAATGTGTGCTTGATGCCCCAAGCTTCGAGAAGGGCGCAAAAGGGGGCTGCCTCGAATTGAGTCCCGTTGTCGGAGATGATTTGTTGGGGGACGCCAAACCTTGTGAGAATATTTTTGAGGACAAAGTGGCGGCACCGGGCCTCGGTAATGCTGGCGAGGGGCTCGGCCTCTACCCATTTGGTGAAGTAGTCGATGGCCACAATGATGTACCTGTTGTTGGAGGTACCCCTCGGCAGAGGGCCTACTAAGTCAATCCCCCACCTGGAGAAGGGTATAGCGGTGCTGATGGGGGCATAGTTAACCGCTGGTCTGCCGGGGGCCTTCTGAAAGTGTTGGCAAGCGGTGCATCTTCGGGCTAGATCAGCACAATCTCTAGCCATTGTGGGCCAGAAGTAGCCCTGAACTATGAGCCTTCGGGACATGGAGAAGGGTCCCTGGTGAGCTGAGCAAGTGCCACCGTGTACTTCCTCCATGGCGACTTCGGCCTCATCTTGATGAAGGCACCGAAGGAGGGTGCCGTTGTAGGATCTCTTGTAAAGCCTCCCGTTTTCGATGGCGTAGCTGGGAGCCCTCAATTTTGCTAACTTGGCACGGGCTTCGTCCTGGGGCAATTGCCCTGTGGTGATGAAGTTGATGATGTCGGAGATCCAATCCTCCGGTCTCAGGTTAATATTCATGACGGGGCTTGCGTGGATGCTTGAGAGGTTGAGTTCCTCAATTCTTGCAATTTTGGAGAGGTGCTCGGGGGATTCATCCGAAAGCTTGGATAGGATGTCGGCCTCGGAGTTTTGAGCCCTCGGTATCTGGGTGAGAGAGTGTGCCTCAAATACCTCGAGCAACTCCTTAGCCGCTTCTTTGTATTGTTTCATCCTCCCTTCTTTGGCTTCGTACTCCCCAGAAATTTGACCCACGACTAGCTTGGAGTCACACTTGACGTGGATCATCTTGGCCTTCAGATTTGCTGCCAGCCGAAGGCCACATAGGAGGGCTTCGTACTCGGCCTCATTGTTGGAGACCTTGAAGGAGAAGCGGATGGCGTAATAGGCGCGGAAGCCTTCGGGTGTGATCAGAACTACTCCCCCTCCGCATGCTTTGGTAGCCGAGGAGCCATCGGTGTAGAGGGTCCACCACTCATCAAGGGGTGCCGAAGGCTCCTCATCCACCGCCGATCTCGCGGTGCATTCCGTTACGAAGTCTGCCAGGGCTTGGCCCTTAATGGCAGGCCTCGGACGGATATCTATGTTGTATTGGCTGAGGAAAATGGCCCATTTCACCATCCGAGAGGAGCTAGTGGGACTCCTCATGAGGGCGCCGAGGGGTTGATGAGTGAGCACTTGGACCAGATGAGCTTGAAAGTAGTGGCCAAGCTTCCTGACGGTCCAAACGATGGCTAGCACCGTCTTCTCGACGGGAGAATACCTGAGTTCGGCCTCCCGGAGGGTTTTGCTGACGTAGAAGATGGCATGTTGGATGCCGTCTTCCTCTCGGATTAGTACTGAGCTGATAGCCGCAGGGCTAACACCGAGATATAAGTATAAAGTCTCCCCCACCTTTGGTTTGGAGAGCACTGGGGGAGAGGAGAGGTACTTTTTGAGTTCGTCGAAGGCCTCTTGACATTCAGATGTCCATTGAAAACCCGCCATCTTCCTCATGATTTGGAAGAAGGGGAGGGCCCTCTCGGCTGATTTGGAGAGGAAACGGTTGAGGGCTGCCAGGCGACCCGTCAGCCGTTGAACTTCTTTGACATTGCGTGGGGGCTCCATGTTGATGATGGCCTGAATCTTCTCGGGGTTGGCCTCAATACCCCTTCGGCTTACCATATAGCCCAAGAA